TAGAGGGAGATCGTTAATAAATAATATAAAAAGAAGTGGTCCAAGGTGGTTTCCTTGTGGGACGCCTGAAGTAACTGCGGTCAAATTAGAGATAGAGTTTTTAAAGACGACTCGTTGAGTCCTACCACTTAAATAACTTAAAATTCATGTTAGAAAATCAAATGGAAACCCTAATAAGTCTAGGTTTAACACAAGAAGCGATTTACTGAATCAAACGCCTTACTAAAATCAGTGTAAGCAAATGTTCTTTCTGAAGCCATTTATTACAAAAGACGTTAACTCCAATGACTCCTTCCGAAGTTTTCAAAAACAAGGTAAAAAAGAGGTCTTCACAGAGTTTCAGCGCTGTATCTAAGCACGCAGCCTGGAACTCCGTCGGGACCCGGTGAATAGACTGGTTTAACATTATGGAGGTCTAAGAGAAGAAAGCTTTCGCTTAAACTCAGAAAAAAGAGTTGCATATGGCACATGAATAAGACGGATTTGGACGGGATGAAACAGAATATGTTGTTTAAAAAACTGGGCAAATAGATCGGCAATTGCCAGATCAGTATTAGAATTTTCAAAAGATAGGGACTGATTTAGGCTGATTTAGGCTTACAGAATTATAAAACTGTTTTGGTTTTTGGAAAACTGGACACTACAACGAGTCAGCTAGCTTTTATAACACCGGGCGTTTAGCACTATATATACAATTTGACCCAGCCTTTATGTAACGAGAAATGACAGATTGTAATCCGCACATTTTAAATTTATTGAAAAGGTGGATATTACATTTTTTAGGTGTGACAAGTCATTATTAAACCTGGTTTATTGTAAATTGACGGATAACATATCGGAACACATAGATAAAAGTAGTTTAATGCATTATAAAAGATATAAAGCGGCCTATCCGGGCTTAAAAAAATATTAAAACGACGAAAATTTGCCTTACAAAAGCAGAGAGTTCGTTTAACAGACTTTTCGGAATTTTTTATTCAGCTCAGTTCCTGCATCTACAGTCAGTCTAAATGGTGACGTTCTTAATAGACAAACGCCTTCTGGATTTCAAACAAAACACAAGTCTACTAAACGTCCTAAGGAGTTTTAATAAAGTCATGCTGCGCTAAAGAAAGTAAAATATTTGATTTTTCGTCTGGTATATTGAAAATCACTAATCTCGATCTGACAGTCTATTGAAAATGGATGGGAACTCAGATGGCGGTGGATATATGAACAAGTAATATAATATATATAAAACTACCGGGAAACGATAATTTTATACTTAAAAATTCTGACGATCAAGCCTGTAAATTGTGTACTTTGGAAAAATTTCGGAGCTAAGAATATCCTTAAGGTTTCTGTACATACAACAATATTATATGGAAGGGAAAAACTATCCGAGTACAATTTAGTCAGCTTATTAGATAAGCTTCTTGTACTTTGATAAGAAAGAATAAAGAAAGAGGATAGTTTTTTGGTGCAGAAGAGGATATGGAAGGCTGGGGATGGTTTTTTAATGGTATTTTCCATTTCCTCTGAAAGAGAGTATTATAATTTTGGTCAGAATTTGTAACGCAGTGAAAGAGACGGTTCCGACCCTATAAAGTATATATATTCTTGATCAGGATCAATAGGAGAGTCGATATAGCCATGCCCGTCTGTTTCAATACCGTTTGTGAGCTCAGTTTAAAAGCTAGCGATCTGAAACTTTCACACTCGTCCTAAAACACGCAGATCAAGTTTTAAAATCGCCCCGATCGGACGACTATATCCTATAAATCCCATAGGAACAATCGGATATATCTTGCAAGAATTGATGATATTTCGCGCAGTGTAAAAGCTATTGACATGAATCTTTCCAAATCGTATTTTTTTATGCATACCTTGATCAGGGTAAAAGCGCATGCTGATCGGACGCCTATATCCTATAGCTCCCATAGGAACAATACGGTGAAGTCGGTCAAAATTTGATCTTTTTAAAAATATTTCGCGCAGTGTATAAGTCTTATTTATTTACGCATATCTTGATCAGGGTAAAAGCGCTTGCCGATCGGACGTCTATATCTAATAGCTTCCGTAGAAAAAATTGTTAAAGGCTGCGAAAATATCCCTTTTTTTTATATTTTTATATGACATTTTTGCAATATAAAAGCTATTGACATGAAACTATGCAAATCTAGTTTATTTATGTATACCTTATTCCTTTCGGTACTTTTTTAATTTAAATTCCGCTGCTGGTCCGGGAAAACTGGCCTTTATTGAGTCTACAATGAACAAAATGAAATATCTCAATATTCTCAAGGACAATTTGCTGCAAAATGCGGAGGATCTGGGCATAAGGTCAAATTTCCGTTTTTATCAGGACAATGATCCAAAGCACAAGGTGGGTATTGTGCAGCCTTGGCTGATTTACAACTGTCCCCATATGATGATTCCGCCATCTCAATCTCCAGATCTAAACGTGATCGAAAATTTGTGGCAATTTTGGAGAATAATATTCGAAAATACTCCATTTCGAACAAAAACCAGCTGAAGGATGCTCTTGTCAAAGAGTGGAGCATTATATCAGCCGATCTGACGAAAAAATTAGTGGATTCGATGCCAAAAAGGCTTCAAGCGGTAATAGACAATAAAGGCTACCACACTAAATACTAAAAAAACAAAAAAATAAATACTTTCCAAATATTTTTATATTTGTATTGCTGCATAAAATAAGCTGTGAGGTTGAAATAAGCAGTATTTTATTATTATTTTGTTATGTTTTGGTTATAAAATGAAAAAGTAAAAAATAAATGAAGTCACTAGTTCAATCTAAACAATATCATCTATAATTTGACACCACATTGGTTGCAGTACGCCTAATAGTTTTAACACTACGGAAGTTTAAAGTTATGGGTTTGAAGTACATACTTTAAGCTGTGAGCCACTGTAGCTGCTATAAAAACAATCGGGAGAAAGGTAGATAAATTATATCAGTATTTTTTTTTATTATACCCAAATAAAAAAATCTATTTTAAGATTATTTCATAACTTCTTATATCTGTTACTCGTAGAGTAACGTGCGTCCGTCTGTACGTCGAAATCTCGGAAACTAAAATAGCTAGAATTTGGGATTTAGCATGAAGATTTTAAGTTTTCTTACGAAAGTTTATTTTAAAATGGTGCCACGCCCATTCAAACGCCTACAAATCACCAAAACAAAAGTTTTGAATTACACCATTAAATTTCTAGTTATGATGTCATTGCATATTTGAAAACGGGGTTTTAGCATTTTAGAGAGCGGAAAAGAGCGGAAGAGAGTGGAGGAGAGCGAGAACATTGGAAACGGGGACCGGAGAACTGCTCCCTCTCAGCTTTTTGTTTTTGAACTATAGTTCGGGAGATTGCGCGTTTCATAAATGGTCGAAATGCGCAACAGCTGGGGGCAATTTTTTTAAAAATTTTATTTGAGTAACGGGTATTTTATAGTCGAGGCATTCGACTGTAGCGTTTCTCTAACTAACTAACTAACCAGAATGGACCATTAACCAAATCAAACCCGATCCAAGTGGATATATATAAATATATATATGTATATATATATTCATACATAAAAATAGTAAAGACAATTGAAATAATCAATAAAGAGATAATTTACTTTGTAAATACCAAACATAAAGCTACAGTATTCTTATGCTTTCATTTGTTTCAATTTATTTAATATGCTGATACTTAAATAAAACAAAATATTTTTAGATAGAATTATTCATTTACTGTTAAAAGCTATTTATCTTTTATAAAAAATAAAATACCAACTAATTGGCCCAAAATTTGGTAAAACCTTGACGATTTTGACAATTTTTTCTGCCTAATCCTACTTGCTTCTATTCTCTAAATGGTATAATAATAAATTTTAAAGCAAAGATTGTTTTAGTGCTTTAAATTAAATGACAAGTTTGTCCTTAATAAAATAAAAATAAAATCAACTGCATGTGTCCAAAAAGTAATATTTAAAAGGGAAGGATATATGGGAAAGGATTCCCAGAAGACGTTTTTACCATTTGTCCCCTTTGCGGCATTTTAAAGGACCGGTTGCAAAATGCTAAAGAGTGAACACTAATTCCGCGAGAAAGTATCGCAACAAAAAACTATAACAGGTCTGGAATATTAGTTTCTGAAAGGATTTAGGAGATGAATGTCCAATATTTTTGTTATGCAATTGCGGAAATGCACAACGTTTCCTTTCTAATAGTTTTTATACCCTTGCAGATGTTATTATAATTTCAGTCAAAAGTTTGCAACGCAGTGAAGGAGAAGTCTCAAGTATATAGTCGACAAGTATATATATTCTTGATCGGGATCACCTCCTGAGTTGATATAAGCATGTCCGTCTGTCTGTTTCTACGAAAACTTGTCTCTCAGCTTTAAAGATATCGAATTGAAACTTTGCACACACTTTGAACGCAGTATATATGTATGTCGGAACGGCCGGGATCGGCCGATTATATCCTATAACTGGTGTTTCTAAAGTTAGGAAGTTGGGATTTTCTATGGGTTTTATTTTTGGCGAATCAGTTAGACCTACCAAATGCCGACTATATCCTACAGCTGCCATATAACAGATTGATCGGAAATGCCATAACTTTGGTGTTTTTAAAGTTAAGAAGTTGGGATTTTTTATGAGTATTAAGAATGCATCATATGAATAGTTTTGGAGAATAGAATTTACAGAATATTCTGCAAGGGTATATCAACTTCGGCTTTAGCTTTCTTTTTTGTTTTAATTGTTAATTGATAACGTATCCCGAGTCGTCTCATAGTTGCTATAATGGCCCACCCTAGTGTTGGGGAAGTATTCCTGACCAGGTCTTTTTTACTGTAGCTCTGCCCCTAGCGCACTCATGAGTATTTAAGTAAATAAAATGTTAAGACTTCTTCGCTCAACGTATTTATACGTGCATACATACATATGTATGTTTGTGCAATTTGCCTAGGGGCCCACAAGCTGTTTTAATCCGAAACACTCTTTGTTCTAAAATTGTATATTTTCATTCATGTGCGTGTATGTACGCATATGTATGTGCCTAAGTGACTCAGATAATTCCAGATACCATATGCACACGACATTCGTTATTTTTCACTCAATGTCAGGTCTGTTCATTTATACCTCCTTTCTTCTTTATCAATTTTAATTTTGCCCACCGGCAAGATATTTTGTTGGGCGCGCTATGTTTTACAAATTATGTGGAATTATGTGCTTATTGGTCATTGGAGAGCATGTCGCAGCCACTTTGGCCAGTGGTGAGTAAAACAGATGTATATATATTAACGCCTATGTGTGATTTGCTTATGTGCACTAGCTTAATGCCAGCAGACACATTATAATTTCCCCCCTCTGCATCCGTATACTTATGTACATACATATGTAATATATCAGACTTTGGTAAGCCGAGACTTAAGTTAAATATATACTCTCGCAGTTATACGTTTTTCCACCAGTTACCATTTAAAGCTTTGTATTACATTCCCTTTAATTTCTTTATTAAAGCCTAGTACTCAGATCGACAAACGAGAACGACATGAACACTTAAATCTTTTCAGTGTGACTGCATTTTCGAGAGTTCATCAAAATTAAGCGTGCTACGGTCTTACTGTCAATCAGCTGGGATTGTTTACAAGCAGTTAAAATTCAAAAATCGTATTAGCGGGAAAGAACGATATTATCAACTACCTTGGCAAGAGAAGTCTACCTCTGTACAAAGAAATTAAAAACAATACAATTTAAATTTAAATGTAGTTTTATTAATTTACTGATAATTATTTGCTTATATAAAGAGCATCTATGCAGTTAGTTCTAACAGGCGATTTTTGTAAGTTTGTATACCCTTGCAGAGGGTATTATAATTTCCGACCCTATAAAGTATATATATTCTTGATCAGCATCACCAGGAGAGTCGATCTAGCCATAGTCAATCTGTCCATTTCTACGCAAACTAGTCCCTCACTTTTAAAGCTTAAAACTTTCCCAAAAGTTGTCTTTCTATTGCAGGTAGTATAGTAAAAGTATAAGTAGTATAAGTCGGAACGAGCCGGATCGGGCGACTATAACCAATTTTTTTGTTGTTCTTTAGGATTTGGTTAATTGAATTAATTCGGACAACAATATCATATAGCTGCCATAGAACCCAAGGCAAAATGCAAGTAAAAAGAATTTAAAGGACAGGACGAAAGTCTTCCACCGTAAAATCCAGTCAAAAACTTTACTATAAGAGAAAGAAAACATAAAAGAGGAAAGCCGAAGTTTATATACTTGTAGCTGTTACAAAAATTCAATACTCTCCATTTCGATGCTTAAAACCATAAACTATGTTTAATTTCCGATAAACAGTCTTTTTATAAAAACAGTTATTTTAAGTCGTGAAAAAATACTATAAAATACTATTAATATATTACTTAATTTTTAGACAATATCTCTGACTATATTAGAAAATGCTGCATAAGTGGGCTTAGGCATGCTCGAACAACTGCCTCGTGCACAAATATCGATATTGCGCCAACAATAATACCACAACTTTGGCTTGGACTATGTCATTCTACACTTGATGTCTGCTGTTCTCGAGAGGTGGACCATCAGAATTGTGAGTTAGGTCGCCTTGCTGCATTAGAAGGTACTCGTTGCGATAGAGGAGAAAATTTGACGTCAAATTCCTATGCAACATGTTGTCGATCTTGTCAAATTGGATTGGCAGTAAAAGCAAGTAAGGTCAACTGCAAGGATCCGTTATTTTCATTTATTTCCTCAATCGAATCTTACCAAGCTTGTTGCTACGAAGCCTCAGATTCAAATTACAAATCTGATAAAGAATATAATGACAGTTATATTACCGAAGATAGCGAAAGTCTAATAGATTCGGAAGAGGGTATAAATGGTACAATTGTCTTAACCGGTGATGGTAAGTTTATAAATCACCTAATTTGAAATTATGATATTTGATTTATCATCCCATCCTTAGAAGATATATGCGGGAAAATTGAGAACCTTTGCGCCCACATATGCGAAAACACTTTTGACGCATATCAGTGCAAGTGCCACCCTGGATTTATGTTAGACAATAACAACGTAACATGCTCTCCGATGAATACCAAAACGTGTCACAGTGGCCAAGTTTTTGATAAACTGGAAAACAAATGCATTGACATTGACGAATGCAAGGAGTGTCCATTATCACAATACTGCCACAATAAGAATGGTGTCTACCACTGCTTAAGTGTTAAGGCAAAAGATTGTCCACCAGGATATCACTATGATAGCGAATACGATGAATGTAAAGGTAAGTTTTATTTCGATTTTAAAGAAACTAAAAAAAAATTCTTTCATATAGTAAAGTAATATTAATTCCATATGGGCTTAAAATATATTTCATGCAACTGGGCGATGCCAAAAATACCTATTATTCACAAATTAGCAATCATGACGGCTTTATGTTATAATAAACTACAGCTAGATATTTGCATAATTCTTCGAAAACGATTGTTCCTCTGTCAGCTACTTGGTTTTCCGATCAGCAAAAATTTTGAAGATGATCAGTGTACTTATAAATAATTTAATTAAAAAAGTCTGATGCGATAGCTTTTACGCTTCTAAGACAAATTAACAGTCAAAGTTTCCTCGTTTTGATCGGACTATACAAAACAGTGTCTCTTACATAAAACTAAACAAATACAAAAACGATCGAAAAAATAGCTGGCAATAAATAGTGATAGGAGAGGAAAAGAAATTGAATTGAACATAGACAATAAGTAGTTTGAATGTTGTATAAAATGAAATCTTATAATTTATCATGGAGAGGATATATTGGCTCACTCAAAGTATCACTCAGGCGAGCTGGAGATCGAGTCACTTAAATCTGGGGCAACCTGAGACGACACAACTATATCTAAATTCTAATACATCTGTGTAATTGCTGGAGCTTTGAGTTATGGCTGGAATTTGATCTATAACAAAATATATTAAAATAAAACGGTTATAAATGGATCTGAAGCGTGGTGCACTTGAAGACTTCCGACTGATATCCTCTTAAATTCATTATGACAAGCATCTTTACCTGTAAACCGGAGATCTTGCCAAATGGCGTTAAAAATTGAGCTCTCTGTTTGTGACATTAAACGGATTATCTACTTATACTGAACATATCCTGACAGTTGCAAGTAGGGTAAATTTATTCAGTCTTCGTGACAAACCAGAATATATACCAGAACCAAAAATATTTCTAAATTTGTCAACCTTCGAGTTATAATGTGCAAAATTTTTAAGTATTTATAATTGCTGGAATTTTATCCATAGAGAAGTATAGTATATCTAGGACATACATTAGAATAAAACGGTTATAAATAGACCTCTGATTTTATTTTCGTGACGAATGGTTTTAAGCCATAATTGAACATAAAAATGCTACAAATTTTGAAAATAAAACCATCTCAATTTTAAATATTTTTTTTTAATTTATACTTTGTTTTTATATACCTTTTCAGAGGGTATAATAATTTGAGTCAAAAGTTTCCAACGCATTGAAGAAGTCATTTCTGGAGTTATATATTTATTTTTTCGACTGTTTTTTTAGGGATTTAGTAGTCTGATTCAGAACGTTCCAACTTATATATTACCTATAATAAAAGAATTCCTTTGGGAAAGTTTTTAAAGTAAATGGCTAGTTTGCGTTGAAGCGGACTGACTGATTTTATAGGCTTGGAAATGTGAACTTTACTGCGTTGAAATCTTTGAACTACAATTCTATGCCCTTTGCAAAAATATTCCCAATATAAAATGTTAGTAATCAGCATGGCAAAGAATCAATGAGTAGCCCCTAGGTTCCCTTGGATATCCAAAACTTGAAAAAACTTTTCTTTCTAGATGCAAAGCCAAGTTAAGAAAAATTTGAAAGTTTACAAGAAAGGAAGCAAACTTCAGCAAGCCCAAGTTTATATACCCTTGCAGTCACTGCGTTGCTGGCTTTTGACTGAAATTATAATATCCTCCAATAATAATAATAATTTAATTACAAGAAACTCATATAAAATACACTAAATATTTATATTCCCATTGGCTTTACCCTCACATCAAAAAACTCATCCACATATCACGGAGAGCGTTGCTTTCTTGACACACAATTCTCTAAAAGCTCGAGAAATAATCTATAGTGACGACTTTGATGCAGTCTGTACGGAAATCAACTCCAAGATCAAATTCAGATCATAAAAACTGGGGCTCGATAAACAACAATGCTAAAAGAAAAAGAGAACAGAAATGTACCACCCAATCTAACTACAACCTGCTAAACGACATGTTACCAACTGACTTCAGCACGCGAAATACTTTCAATCATCGACCTAATTTCGACATCTCACTACTTTAAGCCGACAGCACACAGAAGATAATTTATTTGCCAGCATCCACTTCCATATCTAAATTAAACTTTTCAGCTCCAATAATGCAAATGATTCTCCGCGTAAGCAAATATTAATTACCGACGAAGCAAATTGGCATATGTTTTCCAGACTAACAGAAAAAAACTTTTCTTTCTAGGTGCAAAGCCGCGTTAAGAAAAATTTGAAAGTTCACAAAAAGGTAGCTTACTTCGGCAAGCCGAAGTTTATATACCCTTGCAGTTTTTACAAATCGACTACATTTCGATTTCTATGCCTGTATTACTAAAAGCAATGAAGCTATGTCACTTTTGCGTTGCATTTTGCCATCGTTTCTCTGGCAGCCATATGATAATATTGTCCGATTTTAATTTAACTAAAAATGTAATTTCATAATATTTAAATATTACCAAATCCCAAAGAACAAACATTTTTTTCCGATTGTTACTATGACAGCTATATGATATAGTCGCCCGATCGTTCCGACATATTTACTATTTACAATAGAAAGACTATTTGGGAAAGTTTCAAGCAGATAGCTTTAAAACTGAGAGACTAGTTTGCGTAGAAACGGACGGACAGACGGACATTTTATTGGTTTGCTTACGAAAGCAGTGGTTTCGTTAAACAAACTTTCAGATTTTTCATTCCACCCGGTTCCTGCATTTACAGTCAGAGTTGTGTTATTAATTTCGATTTAAAAAAAAAAATATCCTAGTTAAAATTGACGGAATATGGGTTTTAAATTTAAATTTATGGCTAAAGCTGAATAATTTTTCGGCAAAGAATCAGCATGTTGATCGACACGAAGCGAACCGATAAACTGCATATATGTCGATTTTAATACAGAACTCAAACGTGAAGGTTGTTTTCCTTATTACAGGAATCCCTCACAGATGGTGACTGGCGACGAAAAATGAATCACATTCGACAATATCAAGCGAAAACGGTCGAGGTTGAAGGCCGGTGAATCGTCCAAAACAGTGGCCAAGTCGAGATTGACGGCCAGGAAAGTTTTGCTCTGTGTTTGGTGGGATTGAAAGGGAATCATACACTATGTGCTGCTCTCATATGGCCAGACGCTTAATTCTACCATCTACTGCGAACAACTGGACCGCTTGAAGCTGGCGATCGACCAGAAGCGACCAGAATTGGCCAACAGGTAGGGTGTAGTGTTTTACCACACACTTCTTTGATGACTCGTCAGAAGCTACGGTAGCTTGGATGCGAGATATTATCGCATCCACCATATTGCCCGGACATAGCGACAAGTGACTACCACCTGTTCCTGTCCATGGCGATTGCCCTTACTGGTGTAAAGTTGGGCTCAAAAGAGGGTTGTGAAAAGTGCCTTTCAGAGCTTTTCGCAAATAAAGAGGGAAGTTTCTACGAGGGGGGTATTATGAAGTTGCCGTCTAAATGGGAACACATTATCGAACAAAGCACTAAATAAAGAGCAAAAAAGCGGAAGGGAGTTTGGCAACCTAATATAAACCACACTTCTTTAATTACACTTATTCATGTATATAATTCTATTTGTGTGTTGAAAGTGTAAACTTTATAACTTCTTATTTTAATAATATTTATTTAATTTCTCTTCCAAAATAAAATACTAAAACGCTTCCCGTAGATGATAACGAATGCAAAGATGACAGCTCCAAATGTTTTATATACAAGGGTCATACATGTGAAAGTGGTTTTAGTTTGAAGAACGGCAGCTGTACTGATATTGATGAATGCGCTAATAACGCAACAAACAACTGTCTTAGTAATAATCATCAGGAATGCTTTAACACTTTAGGAAGCTATTACTGCCACTGCCAGGCTGGATTTAACTTGGATGCCACTCTGAAAAAGTGCGTTGGTAGGTTAGCTTTCACATTTATTTTGGAATTGCTAATGTTTTTTCTACACTTTCTCTAGATATCAATGAATGTTCGATAAATAACCACAACTGTCTTCCAACTCAGAGATGTGATAACACAATCGGTTCATACATTTGCACGGTATGTTTTTCAACATCATTGAATATTTTTCTTCTGATAATATGAGTATTCTTTATAGCGTCTTCAAAGCTGCGGCACAGGATACACGTTAAATGCGGAAACTGGGAATTGTGATGGTGAGTAACTACCTAATTTATTCATAAAAGTTAATTCCTGAGTTATTGTTGATCATGGGGAAATTACTATAGTAACAACTTGTTCTTTCCTATTATGTCTTGCAAATACAACAACAACACTATCTTAACAGTATCTCCAAGAGAGCTCGGGTCCAGGAGCATTCTAGGTGGCAAACTATTATTTAAGTGTAGAGCTCAAGACGTACGATCATTTAAGCCGTAATTATATCTACAATTTGGTATAGAAACCATTCTATAGCTCAAAGAGACCTACCCATCAAATTAATGCTACTAAGCAACGTAGGACTGTAGATTCTGCCGATTCTGGTTAAAGCGCTTATTTTGAACAACGTTTTGGGATCCTGAAGCAAAGACTGATGTAAAGCACCAATTTATTTACTCTGTTCAAGTATTTTGAGACCATCGGCAAATAAAATTAACTCTGAATCTTTTATGCACTGGCATAGAAAAGAAGATAAAAGGACCTAGAGCACTCACTTGAGGGAGGACAGACCTTACCACAAACGGTTTAGAAAAAATCACTGTATTCCACTCTATACACCCAGTTCATTAACCAGGATCTGTTCTATTTTAGGATTGAAGAATGCAAGCCCGGATTGTCTGTAAGAAGTTTGAACTTAATTTTTAGCATACTTATTAGCAATAGCAGCGAGAGTATAAAAACATAAAATTTGCATAGCAAATATCCACAAGCTCTTCATAGTCAACATTAGAAATATAATTTCTGATAGTACTAATAATAGACGCATCAGAGAGCTATTTTATATTATTTTATTTTTGGTACTACAATGATTATTTTGATTTAAAATGATTTAATATTAGGGAAATATAATTTCTAGTTGATCAAAACAGAAATCTAAAATAGAGTAGGTCGTTGAAAGAAATCGCTTATTGCTTAATCTGTGGTTGCAGTCATGCTTTCAAACGACAGAGAGAAAGGATAAGAATTAATTTAAACAAGATTTGACTTCGATTTTATTAACCCTGATTTAAGCGTCAATCTTAGCTTTATAATAATACTATAATAAAATAACACTATTGTTAATATTGATGACATGTCAAATTTTGCTCTATCGGTGGGCTTTATCAAAATTTCACAATCGCTCTCCTATTTCAAATATGCTTTATATTTGTAAAAGACTACTACAACTATGTTAATTTTGTATTTCTGATCTATGATTTTGATTCTTGTAATTTGTCTTTCTTTTATCGATTTACATCGTAGTGATGATTCTGGTCATGCGTTTGGATGCACTTTAACTACATTACCTAGCACTAAATCGAATGTTGTAAGCGTGCAGTTTGTGTGCTTTTGCGATAGTTATAACTTAAGTTAAATATCAAGCTAACTAAATTGTATTCTTATAGCCTTTCCTTTGTACCTCATTTTATCGTGCTTACAGAAACCTCGTTAAAGTCGGAAATCATAGGCTCCGAAGTTTTTTCAGATAAGTACACAATGTAGAGGTTTGATCGTCCCTCTAGATGGGAAGGTGTGAACTTAAACCTCACGTCAGACGAGTTCTTTTTTGAGGAATTCAATTCTATTGAAATTATTTGCGTAATGTTATCGTTTCTTCGTAATATAAAAAGTTTGGCAAATAAATCATCAATTTAAGAAAGCATTGTATACGTTTACAAATTATTTGAATCATTTGAAAATTCGGATCAAGACACCAAGTATTTCGAAAAATGTTTTGGGTTTCTTATCCTTTTGTACTTTTTGTAATTGTTTGTTTTAGGATTTTTGAAACTTCTATGTAAACTACCGCGGCATTTTCATATCTATGTTATTGTAAAAATGAGTCCAGTTATTATGGGAAATCAAGTATTAGTATTTAAGTCAAATTTACGTAAGAATTTCATTTTAGTTTGAGAAGCAATGTAAGAATAGATATCTGGGCAGGGCAAGAAAATTGTCAATTCTACAGGGTGCTCCATCTTTCGTGTCGATATGTACATGCTGAATAACTTTTATATTTACCAACCGATTTGTTGCATCATATTTGTTATGTGTGCAATTCTGTATAATTTTTGCCATGTATCGTTGCACACCCAAAACAATCGTTCCGTTGTATTAACTCAACGTTCATATCGGGAAAAATATCGAGGCAAAAAGGCTCCATCTGACAATACTATTCGTAGGTTCTTGTCGAATTTTTTTGAACACGGGATAGTAGGAGATCGTCAACATGCCGTTAATCAGAGAACAAGACGCTCCAATGAACTGGTTAAAGCAGTGAGACAAAGTGTTTCGCAGGACCCAACAGTGTCGTATCGTCGCCGCTCCCAGCATTTTCGCGTCAGTAAAACTACTATGTGGCGCATTTTGAATAGAACTTGAGTTTGTTTCCGTATAAAGTGCAATTAACACTAACAATTGCATTTCTGCAACGAAAATGCCCGGGACTGGTGTCAAAATAGGCGACATTGACTGGCCACCCAGATCACCTGATTTAACACCCCCGGACTTTTTTGTGGGGTTATCTGAAGTCAACGCTATAACACCCGAATTGCCCAAAAAGGTAATGCCAAACGGTAAAAAAAGAAGTAATTTTGTAATTGCTAGCAAGGGTGGCCACTTAATTGATGTTGTTTTCAAATTGGAAGGAACCAAGCTAAATAAAAATACATCACACATAGAAATCAGCTTTTTTTTCTAAAAGATATTCAATGTTTACATACCGACATAAAAGAAAGAGCACCATATAGTGCGGAATGATAACTTAGCGGTCAATGGATACAATAAAACTCAGAGGGATCCAATAAAAAAACACTAACAAGGATTAGATCTCTTTAGATCCACAAAGTCGTAAAGAGGATCAGCTGAAGCCAACTGCTTATTATAGCTGACCAACTTAAATGCTAGAAAAAGCCTACCACAGTTACAAGAATCGTTGGAGCGATTCAAGTATTACATTTATGCAAAAAGAATAAAAGTGATTAATATTGTAATGCCTTCCAAACGTCGATGAAACAACAATGATGGAAAGGATGGTTTCCTCAAATGCTCAACTATGTTAAGAGCCACATAAAGTCCTGTGAAGGATGTGCACTATACAAATTACGACGCCAATCACGCCAAGCCAACCACCTATAGCTTTAGTGGTCATGTTTTGATTACATTACGCAAATTGGAGCCTTGCTATAAAGGTCCTTTTATTAACAAGAAGGTTCTGCCAAACGACAGATATGTTATTGAAGATATCCAAAATGAACAGCGAACGCAAATGCACAATATGTGGTGTACTCGTCCGACAACATGCCAACTGCCACTGGATAATCCAAATGAAGATATTCAACTCAATACCCAAAGTAAACATATACAAAGCCTACCCCTTCCCAGTGCACGAGGAGTTTTTCTTTGCAGGTGGTTTTTTTTTTTTCGTACGTTGATGCACTATGATCAGCGACACCTTACGTTACCAAACAGTGCTTGTTACGCGCGGAGCCCAATAGACGAGAAGTGAAAAAGGACAATATAGAAGCGGACAGACTAAGTTAGAAATACGTACGAGACTAATACTAATACTAATTTTGTGCCAAGTAAGATAAAATTAATGATTTTAGGCTTGGCAAAGAGTCGGTAGTAGAAATAATATGGTATAGTCTATTATAGTCGTTACACAGTACTCTAAACGGTTCATGCATATCATAGTTAGATACACAAATATTTAAAGTAAAAGGAACATAGTTTCTGGTTATTCTATTAGGCACGGAGAAGTTTATGTGTCCCAGTAACTCGGGACTCTCCACATCCCCGTGAATAAGTTTATAGATAAAAGTTTTGCCAAGCATCGTTCCACGGTTTAATAAAGATGGTAGATTAATTAGGAGAAGTCTACTAGAGTAGAATGGTAAAATAAGGCTTGCATTTCAGTTAATGCCCCGTAGAGCAAATAATAAAAAGTTCTTTTGCACAGACTCTATCCGGTCTATATTGGTGTACATATAGTACTGAGGACTCCAAACTGCTGAACAGTACTCCAGAATTGGACGGACTAGTGAAACGAACAGAGTCTTTGTAACATAGGGATCATCGAATTCCTTTGACCACCTTTTAATAAATCCAAGTACTCCCCTGGCTTTATTCACCATAGAAGTAATATGGTCACAAAACTTAAGTTTTGGGTCAAGAAGGACGCCAAGATCATTAAACTGCGTAATTCTAGACATTTTGTTTGACTATTTCATCTTTAACTGCAAGAATGCCAAAGTCTCTGTGGACGTTTTGGTTGCGAATGTACCACTGTGCCCGAGTGATAGTCCACATGATTTTCGACTGTGTGCGCTGTATGATGTCAATGTTGCTGCTGCTCGCGATTTCACATAGCTGGGAGCCTATGTCCAGATAGGTTTAAGACTGGAGTGGTATAGCAGGACCTTGTAGTCCAGACGCATGGACGATCGAGCGTCTAATATCCAGTGGAAGCTTATGGCTTTTAGTTGCATTCGATGTGTCTTCTCCAGGTTAGTCTTTTGTCGAGGTGGACGCCGATATACGTTACTTCGTTGATTTGGGGAATCGGAGTACAATTTAATGATAGTGGAGGGCGTGTTTGCCCATTGAAAGTAAATGTTATTTGTTTACATTTTTGTTCCTTTATTTTAATTCGCCAATCAGATAGCAACCTCTCAACTACGCTGAGGTGATTGGCTAGTTGTGTTGTTGCTCGGCGTGGGCACCACGAGCGACTTAGGATTGCTGTGACGTCAGCGAACGTAGATGTTGTTAGCTCCTCGTTCGTAGGAATATCCGCTGTATATAGGACGAACAGAGTAGAACAGCTCCGATAATGCAGTCGTTAGATGTTGTTGTGTTGCACTTTATTGCAAAGACTCTGTTGAGATACGACTCAAGTAGTTTATGAGACAAGTGTAATTTGATCTTGAGCATGAGGCCATCGAGCCAGACTCGATCGAAAGCTTGAGGCACATCGAGGAATATTACTCTGCAATATTCCCGATGCTCAAAGCTT